TTTTTTTTTTTTTTTTTTTTTTTTTTTTTCTGATGTCTGTTGTTGCTGTTGTCGAAACAACAAATGTAGGCTGATGTTGTCGATGAACGATGAGCGTTGAAAGACGATGGTGACGACGATAACCACATATTGCTGAATAATTTTCCTTAATCCCCTAAGTTGTCAATAGCAACCAAAAGCAAAGCAAAGCAAAGCAAAGCAGAGCAAAGCAAAAAAAAAAAAAAACATTTAGCAACCTTTTATATGCAGCTGCTATTTATCAATGCTTTTTCAAAACTGCAGCTTTCTTTACTTCAACGATTAAAATATATATATATATATATATATATATATATTTATTTTATTATTTTATTCGATAATTTACAAAAAAAAAATTTGTGACAGAAAAAAATCAAAAAAAAAAACACTTTTTTCTCCAAAAAAAAAAACTTTTCCGTTCAAAAATTACAAAAGTATTGAAAAATATACTGAAAACAACAGCAAAAAAAATGCTTAAAATCTTCCTCCTAAACATTACAACCAAACTGTTTAACAATTGCTTAAAAAAACTTCCTCTCTGCCTCCACTTTTTCCCCCCTCCTCTCCCCCTCCAAAAAAAAAAAAAGAAAGAAAAAAAAACTGCCCTTTTCTTATTTGTCGTAATTTTTAACTCAAAATTAGTTTCAAACAAATATAGCAAAAAATTCTCCTGCAGTATGAAACTTTATCAGCGTATTAGCAGTTGGTTATAAAACTGTATATATAAATCGCACGTTTTTACTTCTACTTAGAAAATATATTTTTTTCTTATTACCTTCAAATGCTTAAAAAATCCGATTTTTTTTTTTTATCTGTTCTGTAAAAGTCTCACTCAAACGTCTTTTTTTTTTTTTTTTGTTCTATGTTTCCTTTAGCAGCAGTATGTTTTATTGTATCACTATAGTATCAGCATTCTTACATGCTATTTTCAATGATTTTACAGGTTTTATTTGAAAAAGATCTTTCACACAAAACTTTTACCTTTTCAAAACTTACAAGAAAAACTGATTAATTTGATGTCACCAGTAGTATATGTGACATTTTGCTTGCGCTTTGACTACTAATAACAGCCACCCAAACCTGGCCTTAAAGGATAAATTTTGCGGAAGTGCAGTTTTGTGATGATCTAAAACTGTGGTATTAGAAACAGATAAACACCAAATTTAGAAGCTACTTTTGCCATTAGGAAAGTTGAAAGAATAATTTGTTGTCTGAAGAAATCCGAGTGCAAAAATTTGGATAGATCCAGAAACTGGCAAACTTTGTACCAGCTCTTTCACTGCTGTCAAAAGAAATGGTTTT